ATTCGCGCTGTTGGTAAGCGCTTCGGGACCGATAATTACGATTGCAACTCGATACTGACGCGACACTCGGCAAAGTAAGGTTGGACCGGCATTGCACGTAGCTCCCACGAACTGTTATAGCTCGACAGTGACGTGCAGTCTGTCAGAATAAAAATGGCATACTAATAACAAAGTGTACATACCGTGTTACGAAGGTAAACCATACGGCGTTTAAGAAGACAGAATCGACGAGAGTAACTTTTCGACGACAGTGTTCGTCAACACTGCCTCGGAAACCAAGCGGAAGAGATTGACCTCACCCCTTAATCTAAACTTGAGGTCACCGATCAAAATACGGGAAGGGTCGACAAGGGTCGCGCGGGCATATTCCATTCAGCACGCCAGCCGGCCGGTCGTGGGCAGACGCTCTTGGCCAAGTACCGTCGAAGCAACGGTGCGCCGGAGTCACGGTGCCTGCTTCGGGGTGCCTGCTAGGCCTATCTGCCGAGCTCGCTTGGCCGCGGGTCGGTGAATTCGTGGCCGTTCTGACTTTTCTCGGGTGTTTGTGGATCGAGCGTTCTTGTTCGTCGTGGTCTGTTTCATGTACTTTTTTTCTTGCTGCTTGAAGTCGGGACGCGCGAGAAGAACACTTCGCGGCCAAGTAACTGAGCCCAACGCTGTCGGCGGTCGGCCCTTCCGCCCCTGCTTTGTTTACCACATGATAGATGGCGCTTGGCTTTCAGCATTATCAAATTTGGCAATTTTCGTCACATCTCTAATTATGCTACAAAATGTAGATCTGAATATTACTTAACAAAACGTTTTGGAAACATTCGCCGGCTATATATTGTTTACGATCGCTGTGCTGGTGAGGTAGGCTCTTACCAAATAGGCGACGTGAATTCGGCTGACGTGCTGCGTTTCCGCGGATGCATCGCAATGAAAAGGCAGAGAGCTTTCAAAGGAAAGAACGCGCAAAAGAGTCCAGTTTTCCTTTAAAAGTTTTATTGCGAATAATTTCTTTGGCCCCCTATATTTGTGTTTTCCTGTTTCTTTTCATACCTTTTGCGGCGTGCGGTGAATGAAATTCGATTTTAAAATAATTTCATGGTCCCTTTAACGATCTTCCGCAAAAGTTACTGCTGCAGAGGACTCCGTACAATGCAAAATGACAATAATCTGGCCTTCTGTGGGAATGATGATGATGATGGCGGTATTAATACTAATAGTAATAATAATAATAAGCTTTATTTTATTTGGCCAAAAACAACCACGCGGATCTTCACATTATCTCTCACAAGAAGATAAAATTTATTTTTTCATGTCGTATGCAGACTGATCTAGTGAAATACACGTAATAGGGGGAAACAAAAACCGAAGGTCGGTAATGCTAGGCGCCCATTCAAAGCTTCTGCAAAGCGTCTACAGTCCGTAAGGGGTAATTGCGAATTCTGTTGGGTGCCACCGCCACTGAACCAGGTTTCTCAAAGTAAAATACTGTGAACGACGTATTTCTCGCCGGCTCAGTATTTCGCGATTTGGGTCAAGGCTAGTTTTAAAAATACTTCACTGCTTCTCATTTTCATGACACGGTGGGATCTCAATATCGATTCCAATGTGTTTACATTTTACCGGAATTGTTCGCGGGACCTATTTTGCGCGAATTGCAGGCGATTCGCGAAATTCGCGAAAAGTTGATCTTCACGAAAATTAATGATGAAAATAATCCCTGGAGAAGGGGAACATTTAATTGCATTATAATTATAACAAAAATTAAGTCGTTTACTGTACGCCACGGTTCGCTTAACTTGCGTATGCCGTGAGTGCAGTCTTCAATTGATGATATGGACCCTCCACAGGTCTGCGTCCACTACCACGCCATCTGTGTAATGGCGTGCGAACTGAATGAGAACGCTCCACCCCCCGGACATTGTTGTTGGATGTTAAACGGGAAAGCGACAGGGTGCAGCAGCTCCGAGTTTTCATGTCGTCTATATTGCACGGGAAAGGTACTCATAAATGTATTTCAAGCCTTCTTCTGGAATAATCTGCTACTTTCTTTGGTCTTACAACCGACGATGATTGCAGTGACTAGTGTAGTGACGGTAATGTTTTGTTCACCAAAGTTGCACCCTTCCCAATGTCCTATAAACATGTTGGCCCACGCTCGATTGACGTGGATCTGTCGCGATATGTTCTAGTAATGCATACACTAAAACAATTGCAAAAGATGTCGTTCGAACGTATGACAGGGAAGCAAATGAGCGGTTCTCTTTTCGGAAACTAATCAACCGTGCGGTGGGATCAATGTTACGTGAATGCTAAATGACGAATCGTAGGTTGTCGTTCGCTTCTTTACAATCATTGTCGATTTCAGACGAGCTAACTTCGGTCAACCAGAAAAGCCTAATATTTCGACGACAACACGCGAAATCACTGCCCTTTGTCTCATTTTTAGACATTAAGCCACTCTTCGATCAACGATTTCTCGCTCAATCGCTTCCATTGGCCTAGAAGAGATGCCGAAACCAGTCGGGGAACGTAACCCCATGAATAGCGTATACTTATATTGCATGGAGGAACACACAACCCACACCGCAAGGTTTTTCTATAGTGAAGACGGCCTAAAAGCGATATCAGAACCGTGTGCCTTTTTCCGATTGGGTGGCACTATACTGAACTGTAAAAAAATCCGTGGCTTTATTTGGCGAGCCGCCGCGCACCACCCCTGCCCACTCGTGCCCACGCGTGCCCACCTATGGCGTGCGCGCAGCGAATAGAAGTATTTAAGTGCGCCAATCCTGGTGGCGTGCGGCTCAAAGGCGGAAGCAATGCGGATCGCAGGTTCGTCTGCTTCTTTTGCAGGTGTTTTGGTGACGTCAAAACGCAGAGCTCTGGTTTTGTTGGGAATGAAGGATAGTGCGTAGACCTCAAGGCAGCTACCCTTAGAGTCTACCCACTACCCTTCCATCAGGACCAATCGAAGCTCGGCGTTCTGACGTCACCACGACCCCCGCGAAAGAAGCAGAAGATCAGGCGCTAGGCATAGTTACCCGGTGCGCACTCCACGTGCACCCATGGCGCCAAGTGAAGACAGTCCAAGTTTAGCAAAGCGAACGGTAAAGAGGAGACGACTTCCTATCTAGCGTTCGCTCGGCTAAAGTGAAAAAAGGCGGAAACCGCTTCCCATAAACTCAGAACCTATCACGTACTATTGCAACTGCCTAGCTCTAGAAACAAAATTTGTAACAGGGTAGTATTAATCTAAATATCGTTCTGTAAATTCTCGTGGTTAAGGAACCGGGCGCCTTTTGAAGCAAGACATAATTGACCTTTTTCGGAGAATTTTGTGCGAATGCCCGAACTTGAGGAGAGAGTAGGAAAAGGGAAGGCGCCATCTTTGCGGGCTCTCCTCGTACGCTGCCTGGCTTCGCTCGCACTGCTAGGCGCGTCCGTCCGGCACTGTCGCGATGCCTCACCGCTGCTCGGCTGTTGGATGTACAAACAGCAAGGAAAACACGCCGAACGTGAGCTTCTTTAGATTTCCGAAAGCAACCGCGCACCTCAAGAAGAGAGAAAAATGGATTCAAGCGCTGCGACGCCAGAACTCCGACGGGACACCTTGGCAGCCATCTGCGAACTCGCGTGTTTGCAGCGTCCACTTCATTGGAGGTTAGTTCATTCATATTTGTTTGAACTCAGGATATACCCGTCATACTCCGTGCAGGCTAGTCATTCATAGCAAAGTTTTTGTTCCTGATTTTTACGACGCAGGGGTATCTTCACGAGACCAGAAACACCCAGACTTCGCTCCCTCCTTGTTTACAGGGAAGTCGACACCTGACTCCGCACCGAGTTTGCTTGCACGGTACAGCAGGGCAGCGAAGAGGCGGGTCGCCAAGTCGTTGTCACAGAAAACAGATCTTTACGCTGTCGCATAGTGTAAAGAGCAGGCCAGCTATGTGCTGGCATGTTCCGCTCAACCTGCAAAGTATATATTTACGCTTGAAACTCATTAAAATATTGAATAAAAAATGTCCTACTACAAAATTTGCTATCAACACGTCACCTAGTTCGATAAGTAGATAGATGACATAGCTTGGCCCTTTTTAGTTGCATGCTGAAGTACCACAAAAAAGACGAAAACGACAAATCTTGTTTTTTGTTTTGTTTTTTTAGACAACTTATTGCGTCACGCATAAAATATGATTAAAGGACTGGCACACACGGATCTTGATACAGATCCGCCGAAAGGATTGCGACTATGGGGCTCACACTTACAAATATTGACACGTCTTGTCATCCTTAAGACACATTATTACATCGCCACGGGTTTTACCGAAGAAACAAACTCACACTGCAACTCAGTCGCAAGACGCTTGAACGATATCGGCGCTCTTGGAAAGCGATATCAGTTGCCTGTAATGTCCCTGCTTCATAGACGGTACACACGTGCTCCTTACAAGGTGAACGGTGTGGTCGGGATCAAAGTTGTTAACCATGACCTTCTTGACGTAGGCTTCTTTGAAGGCCCATCCTTTCCGGAGTTGTCTGCAGTCCTTCGCCAAGTACCGATCGACGTACGCTGTGTTGACGACCGGTACCGATGCAGCATCGGCACTCCATCCGTCTTGAAAAGCGTACAGACGGATAAAGTCCGAAGTGTCGAAGGCGGTTGCTTTACTCGATCCTCCGGGATCGTCATCAGCCATTTGTAGAGAACGACAGCCGGAAGACAGCGAGGAAAACTTTCCACAACGAACGCACCAAAACGATCGCGTCTAGGAAGACGGACTGAGCCCGCAAACGTTTTGAATTATCCCCACGAGGGTGCGCCATGGTCGCTTCAACGAACTCTGAAAAAGGTCAATTGCTGCGCAGCATCACGTGAAATCCTCATGTCTGAACTAGGCTAAGGGTCGAAGAAACGTGATAAGATTTTGAGATAAGTTGGAAAGCGCAAATCGATTGTTCAGTTCGCCGAACAGCGATACATAGTGTCTTGCGTAGAATAGATAAGATAACACGGTCCTGCGAGAAAAATAATAGAGTTTGTCTCAACAGAAAGCATTCTGAAAGCGGCGAAGGCACCGTGGTCTCAAAAAGCGAAGATCTCGAAGGTAAGACCTTACCGTAAAAATAAATCGCTTAAATAGCTACAGTCTCGTAAGGACTTGTAATATGTTGCCCAATTAAACTTGGCGTCAAAACGTGCAGGAACTCGTGTAGACCCGTGGAGACGGTGTCGGACGTATTTTTTCTTGCTGTAAGACCCTATTAAATTGGACTGCGCCGCCGCTGAAGTCCTAGTTCTCTTAACTTGAACATAGCGTAACCTTCCCAAAACTTTGACCTCGCGTAATGGGCGTACGGTAATGCCGTGCATAAAGGAGATTGAAAATGAATAAAGGGAGGAGTTAAAAATTCGCCTCTTAAAATTAGGTTTCCGATGCTAACATTACCGGGATTGTCATTTGAGACGTGCAATTAACGGGACTAAGATTATTCAAACCTAGTAAATGTTTTACACGCGAGAATGTGTTGCTTGGTGTGCTGTGAGCTCTGCACAAACTCTCGGTCTGGTTCCTAGATTTATGTAAATAGAAATGTGTATTAACAAAAACGTTCTAAATATAGAACTAAAGGGATTTTCTCTCGGAAAAAAAATTGAGGTTCTGTGGATATTTAGACAGCGTGTAGTAGGTCCGCCATTTCAAAGTTGTGACAAGTGACTCGCTGTAGATGAGAGATTTAGCCATTACGGTACAACCGCTAGCCTGGGGTTTTTAACGTGCAACACGCAGTAGTGATACACGACCACACGCCGATACGATGCTCATCCACATCGAAACGGGCAGGGGTGGCGATTGAGCCCAGGGTCGCTGGGTTTTGCAGCTCGAGCTTTCGCTCCACGTGCTCGAAGCTGGTGTGCGCTAGCCCACTCGGCCACCGATCCCCTATCTTGCGGAAACCGGACACATATTTGTATTTGTATTTATTTGCCATTTTGTTTTGGGGTGGCAGGGACAAAAGGTGTATTAAAACACCTGACTCAGGTCCCGTACCCCATACAGGTTTCAGAGCGGCGCAGCTCTTGTAACGAACACACAGCACATATACAAATAAAGCACAAGAACACAATAAAAATAACAATAAATATGTACATTTCTAACGCAATGAAATGGCTGGCAGAATTTTTTTACAAGACTTTATACATGCTTGAAAATGTAATTCTTTATTCTTTTTTTAAATGTATTTGCAGATCTTGATTTAGTTGGTATATCAAGAATTTGTGGATGCATATTTAAAAGTTGTGTTAATTGCTGCTTCAATGTTTGTTCCCCATAATTAGTACGTATTTGGCCTCTATCATATTCCACACGCCTCAAGTTGTATTGGGTGTCTCTTAAGGGAAATTGAGTAACAATGGACTCCGTGTTGCTTTTAAGAGAATTAATGGTTACTTTCGCGAAGTTGAAAAATATTAGCTGTTGGATAGTGAATAAATTATACTTCTTAAAATAAATGCACGTGTGATCATTATAACACAAGCATGCAATGGACCGAATTGCTTTTTTTTGGAGTACTAAAAGTTTTTCAAGGTTGCTTTTTGATGACGTCCCCCAAACCAATGAACAGTAATGTAGGTGAGAGTGCACAAGTGCACTGTATAGTTTGCGCTTAAGCCATGTTGGTAGTAAAAGTCTTAGTTTATGTAATATGCCGATTGAACGTGAGAGAGTCAAACATAGTTTAGATACATGAATTGTCCAGTATAAATTTTCGTGAAACCATACACCCACGAGCTTTATGGATTCAACCTTCTCTAATTTGTTTGAATTAAATATTATATCGATTTCATAATTAAGTGCCTTGTTTTTTGCCCTGAAAATAATATATTTAGTTTTAGAAATATTCAATCTGGTTTGTCACTAGCCACGTGGATAGTTTGTTTAACCAATCATTTGATACACTTTCGAGATGTCTGAGGTCATTGTGGGAGAAGAAAACGTTCGAGTCGTCTGCAAATAATACCATGTTCGCAGAATGCGAGATTTGTACAATATCATTAATATAAACAAGAAACAATAATGGTCCTAGAATGGATCCTTCTGGGACACCATATGCGATTTCTTGAATATCAGACTTAATGCCGTTATAGATGGTAAATTGTGAACGAGAGCTTAAGTAACTGCATATTAATTCTAGCGCTTCGCCCCTTACACCATAGGTACTCAGCTTTGTTAACAATATTTTGTGCTTAATTGAGTCGAAGGCTTTTCGAAAGTCAAGAAATATTCCGATAGTATAGTGCTTATTTTCTATATTGGTTATAATTTTATCTTTAATGTTTAGAAGTGCCATTTCCGTCGATTTATTCCTTTGAAATCCGAACTGCTGTTCTGAAATTATTTTGTGTTTTGTAAAAAAACTAGTTAGTCGACTATTTATTATTTGTTCCAATATTTTAGAAAAAACGGGTAACACAGAAATTGGCCTGTAATTATTTAAAACGTTTTGTGCACCACCCTTATGTATAACGCAAACTCGCGATACTTTCATTCGGTCTGGGAAACGACCTACTAATAATGACATGTTGCATATATGTGCTAGCGGAGTGGATATTAGTTTACAAATATGCTTAATTGATTCCGATTTGAGGCCGTCCTCCCCTGCAGCAGTACTGCTTTTAAGACCATTAGTCAGGTTAAGTACTTCTTCCTCATCAGTTGGACGCTAGAAAACTGAACTGATGATGTTGTGACATATGTACGAAGTGGCATTTCCGTCATTGGTTGGGGGAGACGAAGGTGCACCTGATTTGAGAAAATGTTCATTAAACATATCTGAGAGCTGCTTTCCTCCATAGCTTATGCCATTTATTTCAAATTCAGGGGGAAGCGGATTACTAGGTTTTGAAATTAAATTCCTTACAGTGATCCAAATTTTCTTGGGGGCATCTAGTATGGACGTAAATTTATTAATATAAGATTCACGTCGAGCCTTTTTTAAATCCGAGTTCAATTTGTTTTGAATTTTTTTGTAGTTGACCAGGATACTTTTATCCTTTAGCTTGATAAATTTATCGTACAAGATATCTCGTTCTTTTATTCTTTTATAGAGCGTGGGAGTCACCCATGGTTTTCTTGATTTCTTATGTTTTCTAAGAGTTTTTAATGGGAAGGCTTGATTATATAAGGATATGATCTTGTTCAAAAAAAGGTTGTACGATACGTCAGGATCGCTTTCATTATACACAAAGTCCCAATTATTATTTGACACCAAACTGTAAAATGTATCAAGATTTGTTTTGTTATTAATGGGTCGGTAACGTTATAGTGGGAGCCGGCATAGACCTATTTATGAATTTTTGAAAAAAGCAAAAAGATGGCAGGTGGTCACTTATGTTCCATGTTAACACACACCCCGTAATTTCATTTTGACCACAGTTTGTTATACATAAATCTATTACAGTAGCAGTTTCTATAGTAACTCTCGTAGGTATATCAACCACATTTAAAAACCCGTAACATTCTACAATCTCCATTAGTTTTGTGGATGATTGGTTAGAGGAGTTAATATCATTATTGAAGTCACCAATTAAAGTCAGCTTTAGACAGGAAGACGAAGCATAATCTAATAAATTCTCAACAAATTCAAAAAAATTTGCCACGCAACCTGATGGTGGACGATAAATAAGAGTTATAATCATCTGCCCGCATTTAACAGTAAGAGACTCATAGCCGCAGAAAAGATTAAAGAATATTCAGTGAGAACATCGTGCTTAATGACGTATCGAATATACAAAGAAACCCCTCCTCCCCTCTTATCTTCTCGGTAAACACTTTCAACTTTGTATCCCTCAAATGAGACAGCATCATCTTTGCCGCTAAACCAAGTTTCAGTGAACGCTAAAATATCAAACTTGACATTCAGGTTGTGTAATTATAAGTAGAGCTCTTCAAGATCTTGCCAAATGCGTTGCTGAAAAAATAAAAGTAAGTTAGGTGTAAATCTTTTTTCACTATGCTCTTTCTGCATGACGCGTTTTTTTTCTTTTTTTTAGTATTGCAAGGACATTTCTTTTTGGATCTTTCTTGTTGTTGTTGCTTTTTTACTTTTTTCGTTTTAAGTAGGTTGGGGCTTCATAAACCGAAATGCGGGTTGGTTGACTAAAATAAGACGAATGTATATCTACTAAAGAAGCAAATCACAAGTACAAGAACCGGAGTGAAAGATACGAGTCTGCGGTTTAGATAGTAATTATTTTGCTGTTTAAACAGTAATTTGTTAATGAGGTGGTTAGTAGCACAATGCCTTCAATCAGTATCTTTGCTCAAACCTATTTTTTATATTCTACTTCGCAGGCATGGCATCCACGTAAGTAAACGTTTTCCTATACTTCTTCACTGTTATGGTGTTTTTAAACAAATGTGCATAAGGATTCACTTCATTTTGTGCCAGATGTCCCTTATTTCCTCTGCATTGGAGTGTCCGCCAGATTGAGAAAAAATATCTGCGGGAAACAAAGATTGATGACCTGATCCGAGACAAGCGCCGAAACCAAAGTTTCGAGAAAAGTTGTGAATGCGGCATTATGTAATCGCGCTTGCCAAGTTTTTCAGTACAAGTTGCTATAGTGAATGTTGCAGTGACTTCTAAACTTATGCGCAATATTTTTAGAGCTAAAATATTAAATAATTCTATTCATAGTTATGCAGCTGCCTTCTTTTACAATGCGGAATTTACTCATACACTTAAAATATTCATTGTCCATATTTTATTGTATATTTTTCAGCAACAACCCAACCTCAACGCAGGGTGAGTGGCTATGCGATTTGTGTAAGGTAGATTAGATCGATGAATCAACTATAAATATAAACGTTTTACAAGATTAAACAAGAAAATGCGAATTGTCGCATCCGCTATAACGCTTGACGTTTTTATAGTTTTTTTTTTTTTTTTTTTCAAACGGTGTTAGGGCGTTTTACAAATATAAAGCGCCAAAGTCAAGAACGCACTGACGGAACCAGCACTTGTTTGATCAGTGTGTATTTGACCTTCGCGATACCAATTTGTAATATGAATATCCTCGTAGCCGACCTTAATATGAAGGCGGCTATGTTGCGTACTTACCTGACAATTAAGCAACATTATTCAAAATATATCCTTCTTTTTTTATTTCCATTACATATACAATCTGAATGACATTACTTTGTGAGCTTCTCTTAGACCTCTCAGAAAATCTCGTAATATTTATTCTCCCTCTTGCTTATCCCAAAGACCCCAAGATCACGAGAGCTTCTCTGGGTGAGGAAGCACAGCGCTTGGGTCAAGTTCTGAGGGAATACTCAAAACGGTTGAATCCGATCCTCCGCGAACAAGCGCAAATGACTGATACGGTACGTATATCAATCAAGTAATTGGTGCTATCGCGGTAATTTTTTATTTGATCGATTACGGCCCCTGGTGTGAGCGTCTTTAATCTTGAAATACACGTTGGACGCTGATTTCCAAACATTTTACGCCTGTCTACCGAAACCAATACTAAATGGAAATGTAGTAGGCGAGGTATATCGAGCATACAGGGTGCGAGTACGTGAACGAAAATCAAAGCGCCAACTGTAGCACGGTCACGTAATGCGGGCAAAATGGTGCCGTCACGAACCTGAGGACGGTAGGTGCAACGTGTTTATTTCTCATTGTCGTCGCGGTAGGCGTCGTCGAGGCCGCTGACGACCACCGCGAGTTCCTGGTGACCCGTGAAATAAGTGCGTAAGGCGAGGCGCTGCATGCGCGTGCCAGTTCACGGCGGTGGTGGCCGTGAACTGGGACCGATGAGTACTCGCTTGGCGAACGCAAGCATCAAACGACCGGCGCCGTTAGGAAGAGCGCTCGGCTGTGACGATCCAAGGGAACGATCGTCACAGCTGAATGTCCCCGCGACATTCAGCGGTGAAGGGAGGAGATAATGTTGGGGGGAGGGAGTCGAGAGACGAGCGGAGAGAGGAAAGGTGAAGCAGAGAAATGAAGCGAGTAGCTGCCAGGGGGCGACGAGTTTGAGCACGACTGCTTTACGTTTCGAGTTGGGTACGATATGTAGAGATGTTAAAGTAAAATCAAACGCGGTGGAAATTTTTAAAACGGTCGAACCTTACACGTAGCAGCTGGATACTGCCGCAGCGAGATTTCGTATAACGAGAGTAATGTTTGAACACAAAAGTTTGTAGCAGACGACAGGAAGACTCTCTCTACGTCGCGCCGTTACTCGCGGGACGCCGCGGTGCCCCCCCCCCCCCCCCCCCCCCTCTTTTCTTTCTTCGCTCAGTGCGGCCAACGGGAAGACTCGACTTTTCTCTCCTCGCGCCAAAATAAAATATAGGAAAGCTTTTTGTTTGCTTGTTGTAGATTGTTTTTCATAGCGGCGATTACAGTCGGCGAGCTTGAAATCTCTGCAAATCGTCACCCGTGAAGCTATCGCTTTATAAGCAAACATGACCGAACTTACGGGAAGAGTATGCTGCTTTCGGTTGGCCATTGCTTTTGCTCGTTTTGGTGGACCCGCAGTGAGTAGCGCGTGCCGTCCTTAAACACGTTAAACTACTTCGTGAACGCCAGGGCATCGGCAGTGGGCACCTACCTCCCCCAGGCGCCGGACATACGCGCCGAGTTTCCCCGCAGGGGTCCCCAAGCTGGGGATTGGTTTTAGCAGACAACCTTCCGAAAGTTTTTAATACGCTTCCGTCAATGCGACGCGAGTTTCTGCGAAGTCCAACTTTTTAATGTATGGACTTCTTTGCTTTGGTATTCGAGGTTTCTCTCGCAGAGCACCGTGTCAGCTTGTAATTCCACGTTCCGTAAAAGCCCGCTTGTCACCTGTCGTTGTACGGAGATGATCGCTCGAGGCACCGCTGGCGCCGAATCCTCGCGTTGGTCCCCTTGCGCCATCTGTTGGCAGCACATCAAAGTAGGCGAGCACCGTCTGCTTAGCTACGATCACCGAAACTCATCGGCGTTGGTAGCGTCCCTTGTCTCGAGATAATCGTAAGAACTTCACTTGTGACATTTGGTTCGTGCCAGTGCGCATCGGCAAGTTAAAAGTACGAGACTGGGGCGTTTCTAGAGAGTAGCTCTCGCCTAATTGCTCGCTATTAAAGCGAGAGTCGTCCAGCACCCACCCTAAGCATAGCAGAAGCGGAAGTATGTCTCTCCTGTTGTTATGGCGTCCTGAAGTGGCACAAACACCCTGTATACATTTCGAAGCATTGAGCTTATTGACAGAGACAAAATAATGCAACATCCGTTTGATTTACGCAACGTATTATAAATGAGATTATACCCTCTAAATGTACAGACAATCAAAGTTTTCTTGTTTTACCAGGAAGTTGCTCCACTTTCACTTAAAGACATCTTAAGAATATTGTAATTTTTATTGAAAGGCTTGAACCATAATTTTCTGGAATAATATTGAATGTTGTAAAATCATATATAAAACGTATGATATGACTGCGGGAAAACTGGTCACAATTAAAAAGTCAAGATGTAAAAGTATTAAAATATGTGTACGCTCTGAGAAATGCCTGCGCGTTTGCTTACCCACAAAACACTCAGAGAACCAATCTCTGCGATCTACGAAATCAGCTCAACGAATGATGAAGCGGAACATCTGTTCCGACCTCAGAATTAAGTCTGCGCTGTGGCATCACGCAATGCAAGCATGACGCTTTGCATTGCGTAATGCCATAGCCCAGACTTCATTTTTAGGTCTAAGCGGATGTTCCCGCCTCATCATTCGCTGAGCTGATTTCAAAGATCGCATAGAATGGCTCTTTGAGTGTTTTGCGGGTAAGCAAACGCGCAGGCATTTCTTAGAGTGTATTTTGGATCTATATATGTAATATGCACGATAGTATAATCATATAATTATTACAATGAGTGACACTTGCGCAAAATGTTTTAGTGCTCCTGTAGTTTTAGCTTGCTTATGAAAGGGGATCATTTGAAATCAGATAGTAATGTGCTGCCCACCGTGTTGTCGATCGCGTCAGACGGCACAAAACCGAAATCTATAAAAGTGGGCGCTCTCTTACCGCTCATTCACAGTGGAAGCGGATCCGCGTTCGCAAAGCGGTTGCGAACGCGGTTTTATAAGGATTCGGTACAATTGCACGCGCTCTTGATGTCATCGAGTGCGCGTGCAATTGTACTGGATCTTTATACAACCGCATTCGCAACCGCTTTGCGAACGCGGATCCGCTTCCAGTGTGAATGAGCGGTTAAGGAGGTCGGAATTTGTTTATCGAGAATTTCTTTTTCTTCTTTACAATTTCGCCATTACTGTTTTTCATATATATATATATATATATATATATATATATATATATATATATATACATTTGCATGTTAATACATACAAATTTCTTAATGTCGGGTAATTGCATGAATTCAGTCAAACACTCGTTGACTGATAAGCATTTTGAGTACTAAGCAAACCGAGTGCACATTTATTCACCAGGACAAGTGTTTCCTTCCTGTGGCACCTGCCACCGAACTGAACTTCGCCACATCGTCAACTGCTTAGCGAGTTTAACGCTACTTTATTGGCTAGCGTGTAGCCTACGTTGCTAGTTAGTTACTTACTCGAGTATCACTGCCTGACTGGAAGTAGCTTGTTAATGTCGTCCCATAAATGACGACTTTGCGAGTCAACGGTAAATCACTAAGAAGTTTAAAGAGCAACTCCACTCAAAAAGTCTACCCTATCGAAATGACTGATATCGCTTTAGGGGGGCAAAATACGCTCATACCCAAAATATCACGTCAAACCGACGCCGCATTACCGATTAAAACCAATATTAAAGATGTTCTCCCGGCTCGGTTAGCTGCCCGAAAGCGGGTGAGCAACGCTGGCACCGGGTGAGCTAGTGAAGCAACACTGGGCAATGACGTAGGTTTAGTCCTCCGCTCTCGTACGGACGCCGCGGACGCTTCGTTTTCCGTGGCATTCAGCGATTCTGCTGACGGCAAGAGGTGCTTACCACGTTATCCTGTGTTCTTCTATTTTTGTTAGCGTCCAGGCAGTTCATTTAACTCCAGCATTGCTTTCGCGACAGCGCTGAAGAGAACAAAGCGGTGCTGCTCGCTCACGCGCGTGTCGTGGAGCCGGAGAGACTCGCCGGACTCGCGTTGGGCAATGTGGAGCACGACTTGTAGTGCTGTGCGTTACACCAACAATCCGGTGCGCAACCCGGAGCTGCGGTTCCACAAGTTCCCAAAAGACCGGAAGAGGCACAAGGTGCGGGTCGGTGCTGTTCGCCGGATAGACTTCGGAAGACCGTCAACTTCGAGTTCCAACGCGAAGCTCTGCTCCCAGCACTTTGCGTCAGACACCTATACACGGGATCTGCGGCTGCTGACTGTTGCGTGTTTCTTCACGAAACACGCGTCTTTGAAGAACGATGCGGTGCCGTCGCTGTTCGCGTACCGTCCGCCGGCTGCTCCAGCACGATCGGCCGGACGCAGCAGGTCGCGGCTGATCTAAGTAGCGTGCACATAAAGGCACCTTACCTTAGCAACTTAGACCGCTTGTGGATACATATGTCCCTATATCTCCCATTATTCCTTTTTCTCTCGGTCCGCGAGCAAGAAACAAATACAGTCACGGTGCGCCGGCACTGACCGCGTCATATTTAGAGCAGTCGGATTCGGTTTTTGGCCGTCAAATTTATAAATGCACGCTAAATCTTACTACTTTTGGTGCATATTAACAAAGTGAAGCGGTAAAAATGAAAATGTGCAACTTGCCTTCTGTTTTGAACTTCAAGTGCGACTGAGCCGCATTGTCGGTGCGTCGGCACGGGAGCGTGGGACCAAAACTAGGCCATGCCGGCGACGCTCCACTAGTATCAATGTTGCCAGGCTGCTTCAGCCGGTAGTTTCGGTTTCGCCGTGCCGCCGTAACGATACTTGTATTCGCGATATCTACAAAACTATACACACTACCGAAAAACAAATTATATCTCGTGATTCAGGGTCACCGACTTCGACTAAATAGATCATAACCCAAAAATTGTAAAAACGCAGTGGAGTTGCCCTTTAAGGCTCTGATGCGATGTTAATTTTTGGGGGGAAACATAAATGGCGCCTGGAATGACTACAAACTTTTGTTGAAAAGAAAAACTCAGTGACATTTAACGCACTTAAATATATAAATGAAAAAGTACTCGCACAGGGGAAGAAACATAGAGTTTAATGTGCGTGGTCACTGATCAATTCCATTCTAATTCTCAAGACTACGGTTTCTGGTTTGATGTGCATCGTTCTAAAATACTTAATACAGATATCTTGAGGCAATCTGACAAGCTCGAGTAGCCTTCATTTCGCAATGACCTGACCGTGGCGGGCCGCCAAAATTCCAATAAGTTAAAAAATTCTCGTAAGAACTCGCAGATTTTTCTATTTGTATCAAAGATGATAGCTTAATATTACTATTAAAAGAAAAATAAGATTGCACGTGAGCTTCTTTCTTTGTTCATGCGATATTTGAACTTTTCCTATGCTTATGCAGGCCACTGCTGAGGAACTAAGAAGCATGGTTAACCTTGCGAAAAAAAAGCTTGAAAACACGATTCCAACGGGAGAAGGCATGAAGACGGCCAAGGACACCATGACGGCTATCATCCTGGAGAAGATAAACAAGAACGTCTTCGAAGACGTAGAGAAGTTCAGCACATTCATTGCCGCAATGTCCGATGACATCGGCGAGATAGGCGCCGGCATTATTGAACAAGGGACCAAAATGTGCGATGGCACGGTCATCGAGGATGGACTCACAGACTTTGATAAGAAGTATCTCTGGAACTGCGTCGAAGCGTTTAGATTTACTAATATTCAGAAAGAAATTAACGAGCAAGCAGGCTAGATGTGTTGTTAAACTTTTTGGGCTGTGTAAGCGTAATCAAATTGCTGTTAAATGAAATTATATCCTACGCGCGTAGAGTTTAGGTCGCAATAAATAATTTATCTTTGCCACCCATGTTATTTCGATTACCCACTAGTGGGAACCAGAACTGAAATGTTGAAAGGTATCAGCTACAGGTTTACTACATTCTCCTTGTGCGCACACGAAAAGGCCTAGCGTCTCGATTGATTGCGTGGTGGAAGATGTAGATTGTTTATTAATCGAGTGGCGCATACAAATAAATTACACCGATCAGCCAACCGATGTGCAGCTGCTGTCGACATGCAAGATATATTACGTTATATGTTTTGGACTGCATAGGTTGGACAGAAAATTTACGGCAAAATATTACGTTTTTGAAAATAAAGCATGTATATTGTATGAATACAGGTTGCTAATTGTCCTCAATACGAGCAGTGCGCTACGTCTTCCTTTCTCACACTGCGCTCCGGTGGTGACATCATGTTCCTCCACTGCTCAAGTGCGGCGAACCCCGCCGGTTTTACGACGGCTTCCGTGACAAAGCATCTGCGTGGCTGTGCTTTCTTTGTGTTTTATTTCTTAGGCGCGTCCACTTTGACCTTGAGCGCCCCGCCGACCCGGTAGCCAAGCGTCTGTGTGACTGTGCCTTTCTTGGTGTTCTATTTCCAAGGCGCGTCCACTTTGACCTTGTGCGCCCCGCCGACCACCGCAGCGAAGCATCTGCGTGGCTGTGCTTTTCTTTGTGTTTTATTTCCAAGGCGCCTCCACTTTGACCTTGAGCGCCCCGCCAACTGCCGTAGCGAAGCATCTGCGTGGCTGTGCTTTTCTTTGTGTTTTATTTCTAAGGCGCGTCCACTTTGACCTTGAGCGCCCCGCCGACCACCGTAGCGAAACATCTGCGTGGCTGTGCTTTTCTTGTGTTTTACTTCTGAGGCGCGTGCTTGATGACGTAGTTTTATTACCATCTTTCGGGGACAACACCGACGGCTTTTGGCGTAATGGGCCAAGTAAGGCTTTCGCCTTAATAAATTATTTTTCTAATCCCACATTGGTGTACCTCTGTTGCTTATTTTTAATGGGGCGATTGAAATAATTACTCAGTTTAATCTTATATCTGCATTGGGTCCAGAGAGAGCAGGTGTGATATTATGCATACAGGCTATAAGCTACCGCACGTTTCCAGTGGAATCGGGCGTAGGTTTCATTGGAAATTAAACCATATAAAAACACGTGTTGACATTAACACAGAGACAATAGCGGTAACTACTATCTGCTTTAATATGCACCATTTCCGCCTGAAAGGGGCCCTGCAAAGACGTTTTGACTGGTTTTTAATTTGCACCGAACCTGAGCGCACTGAACGTAGTAACTTAATGGAACTTTTCTTTTCTCTAATTTCGCTTTATTTTAAAAGTTATAGGCAAATTAAAGTTACAGAAACAATAAAAAAAAAAAACTTCCTTCATGACGTCCTTGGTTGCTTTAGGAGCCGTGAACGAAAGGGGGATATTGAGCTCACCGAGCGCTCACGGCTGCCGCACTCCGTGTCGACGGTTTGAGAGGGCGCCACCAAAGCATGTTCTGGATAGGCTGTATGAAGCGGGCAGGCAGTTCGGCTCGCATTGCATTTGCTACACCACTTGACACTAATTAGGCATGACACCTCATCGGCCACAAACGACAGCAAACACGGCGTAAAGATCAGTTCAGAACGGGAGCTACTTCGCGCTGCCATACAGCCGAACGGCTAAACCGCAAGCCAAACCTGCTTGCCGAAGGCTTTCCGAATCATCGGAACCGGTCAGATCCTCGAGCCCGTGTACGACCGCAGTGCTGCCGTGTACATCCGAGACCCTTCTACGCTCGTCGCTCGTCGGTGCCTGATCCCACTCCACCTTTCTAGTGTGCGCCGCTTTTTCCACCGCTTGGTGTCGGGTATGTCGACTGGTCATTTCTTGTTTCCGTACTTTATAAACTGCATTTGCTTCTTTTCTGATCTAAAATACTGAACAAAAACTACTTTTACAAATAATTGAAACGGCTCGCGCCACTTATATTTTGCATTTCGACTAAAAATAACCTGATCGCGGCTCTGACCAGTAGTAAGCCGAGGATGAAAGACTTGATATATCGCACTCTTTCGGCACCACGGGTTGCCCCCGTAGGTGGAAGAGGTTTCGCGTGGTCCGGTTAAGATGTGGCGCACTGAAATTTAGTCACTCTCTCCGTGCCCGCTGGCTTGCCCAAACCCCAAGAGACGTGGAAACCGCCAGAAAGATCGAAGCTTAAATAAGATTGCAGGGCCCCTTTAAAAGGCCGATTGACAGGATCGTCCTCTTCCGGGAAGACCCAGGTTCCCCGTTTCCTCCACTCCGTGCCCTCAGACTCCTTCTCTCCTTTTTTGCCCACCGGGTCTCTGAGCGACTTGCCGCAGAACGGTGGAGGGTCTCCCTCTTTCTCGAATGGCAAGGAGGAATGGAGGGAGTTTCCTTCCTTCTGTCTGTTGGAAGGTCTTTAAGAGTACCAATACATAATTTCCCCAAATAAATATTATTTTATTCGTCACCTCCAAAAAATCATCAGCAGCCAATCCTGTACGGATATTACTGTGAGTGAAAGTCACGCTAGACTGGCAAACACTGAAGGGGGTGTGGCTAAAATAAACGCCGTTGTGCGAAAGATTAAGTAACCAGAGACCGGTAGTCATCCCCTACATTCATAACATTTCTCATAACCTGAAGAAGATTGGGAATCGCGCAAATATCGATGTAGTCTTTTCCGCCCCCATCAAACTATCAGGCCTATGTAAAAAAGTTAACGCCATACCAAAAACTAATACCGTCTGCACAAACCAGCATAGAATCCCATACATACATTGCTCAGAAGGAGTGATTTATTCCTTCGCCCTCTCATGCGGCAAACAGTACATAGGACAAACTGGAAGATGTATTAACGACAGATTAAGGGAACACAACAACAACACCCGATTAGCAAACTCAGGACTTTTGGGCATTCACTGCCATGACTGTGGGTGCGCCGCGGGCTTCAAAAATAGCACCATAATCGGAAAGAACCATCATCAGTTAACACGTGAGGTAATAGAGGCCGCCAACCTCATAAAAAGGAGTGACACCTGTGTTAGTAGTCCATCCATAACGCTGACGGAAAAAGAATTGTTATATCTTGATTCGCGTAGGCAATGTGCCATAGACATTGCTAATTGTTTTGTACAGAAGAGAACGAAGTGCGAAGGCAAATTTAACACGGGTAAAAAAAAAACGAAAGAAGACGAAAATACAATTTGAGTTGAACGTCAGCGCGACGTGAGTGACCGTTTTTCTGGTGTGAGTGTGAGTGTGAGGGTGAGTGAGTCTACTTTAGCGATTGGTGTAATCTGAGCTAGTTGGTTACTCATTATGAAAAAAACCAGCTGAACTAAGGAAAAGGTAGAGATAGAAAGAAAGACACCCGATCGCTGGACTACCAACTGTTTTTATATATAAACCTCCTCTTCATCCTCTTCCTCTCCTTCTGCATAATTCACTTCGTTCCCCCCTTTTTCCCCTTTGTTTTACGTTTTATTTTACAAGATGTTGACCCCCTCGGAGAAATAGTTTTTCGGTGCGCAACAAGGTGATTGAAGGTGCACTAACACACCCATCTCCTTTTTCTTCTATGGCAGCAGCTTCTAACATCTCCCGCGCGAGCTGGCTTTTGTGGCGTGCTACGATGTTAACTTGCGCGAGCTTCGCCGTGCACTTGCATGCTCGGCAATGCGCAGATAGGTGCCCCGGCGCTGTCAGGTTCTTTAGGTTGGCTGCGTGCTCACGTGTACGCTCGTTGATGCAGCGTCCCGTTTGCCCAATGTAGCAGCGCCCACATGTCAGTGGTATGCTGTAAACAACCTCTTTTTCGCACGAGGCGAATTGTGTCTTGTGCCTGGTGTTACATTGACTGATCTGGTTGGTCGATGACTGGTTGATCTTCCGGCACATTGAATACGCTTTGTTGGGTGCCGAGCACACAACTTGCACGTCTTGTCGCCTGGCGATCTTTTTTAACTTGTGGGTAACCCCATGTATATATGGGACCACCACAAAAGGTTTCCGTGCATGTTTCTTTTTTGCTGTGGGGTCGTCTTTCTTCTTGATGGTGCGAATGATTTTTTCGCAAATGGAGGCCAATAAAGACTCTGGGTAACCGGCGTCCTGAAGTCTTGAAACTTGTGTATTGAAGCTTTGTTGTATTTGGTGGGGGCAAGTCTTTTTGAGGCTGGCCAGAAGGGCCAGCCTCAAAAAGCGCTTCTCCTACAATGAATATCCAACTCGCCCAAGCATCCATTCTAAAAATGCAGTTCCTTGTTGTTACCGCGCCTGATGTTGTTTCTGCAACTGTCGCCGCCTGCGGTACGCGCGCCGCTTTTGAGTCGAAAAGATCGTCTGCTAAAGACGCCGGCTGTCGGCGCCGTGTGCGCGATCGTTGGCGGCGTTCGTTGCGCCATCTCTTGTCTCCCGTGCGAAACGGCGCCGTGTTGTTTGAAGACCGGTGGCGTCGCTGCATTTCTATAGAAGCTAAGCCTTTTTCTTTCTTTACTTTTTCCTCAGGTAAATTCGCTCGTTGCAATTTTTACAAAAAAAAAAAAAAAAAAAAATGCACCATCTGTGGGCAACGCTGCACAAAGTCGTAGCGCGATAGGTTAAGAAATCAAATTTTGCGGTCGATTTAAAGAGCCTGGCGTCGGGGGCGGGGGGGGGGGGGGGTAACTTGAGGTGTATTACTAAATTCACGATACAAATCGATATCAAAATTGTCTAAAATGCAATATCGAAGGATGATTCGTACTTTAGTGTCTCGAAATTTCTATTAGTTTAAAATAATTCGTTTTATAGCAAGATGAAGTAATGTCATTTTAAACATTGTTTTGTTATTCTGAAATATAGTTTCAATATACAGTTTGTTGTTAGCTTTTTAATTTATTATACCTAACCGACAGTTCACGCAATTTATCGTGTACTTTGGGACGTAATTTCCATCCTGTGGACCTTTCGGTCTACACAAAAGGGGGAAAATACAAAACATGCAAAACAAGAAATTCACTCATGCACTCACTGCGTAAAGCGATCGCAGGTAGATTTTAGCTACCAAGCATTGCATTAACTGAAAGTGTTCCTTCCACATATTAAATTAAAATTTAAAATATTTTTGAACGACCTTTTCTTAAATTAGTTATAGTAAAGCTTCTTGGGCACTCCTTTAAAACAACAAAAACAAATGAAATCTGCAGTTACTTCACTTACTGTGTTCATTTATATCCAGGTACACTCACTAGTCAAATATGGAGCAGATAAAATGTGCATCTATTCTTTTAATGCATAGAAATTGACGCACTAACGCCGAACATAC